CGCGCTACATATGTAGCGGCCGCTCCATTTTCAGTAGCGGTAGCGGTAGCGGCTCTACATTTAAGGCAATGTAGCGGTAGCGGTAGCGCCCGCTACATATTTAAGTAGCGATACGAGGTTTAAACTGTACGAAAGATTTCGGTGTAATGTTGTCAACCTCAGCCTGTTACTAGTGTCAAAATGTTAGTTGTTACTTGTTAAGTTGTTACCAGTTATACCACTTACAGGTTTTTTCATCTTTCAGTTTGCTTACAGTTATTTTTACACAGTTATTTTTATATTTCACTTTCCCTACATGGATGTCTACTTTAATCGCCCAATCTCAAGAATGATCCACATATATATATACAAAAAAGGCTGATTTTTATATTTGTATATGTGGATAATTTCTTAGATTGGTAGATTAAAGTTCACATCCATGTAGGGAAGGTAAAACATAAAAATAACTATAACTTTTTTTTACTGTATCTAATCCTGGGGTAACCCATACTAGTTCGGTTAGGTTAATTGCAATAATGTTGCATTGATATGTTTTAAAAATGTTTTATGATCATTAAATGTCAATGAGTAAGTCCCAATAGCAGAACAATTAATATTTAGAGATTTCCAATAATTTTGGCCATTGTAGCGGCTAATGTAGCGCGCTACATTTTACTGTAGCGGTAGCGGTAGCGCCCGCTACAATCTAGTGGGTGGAGCGGTAGCGGTAGCGCCCGCTACATTTAGAGCATGTAGCGGTAGCGGTAGCGCCCGCTACATTTAGAGCATGTAGCGGTAGCGGTAGCGCCCGCTACATTTAGAGCATGTAGCGGTAGCGGTAGCACCGCTACATTTCCAAGTAGCGCTGCCCAGCTCTGAGTATACTCATGGTTTAAACAAGGTCCCGAAGGATTACTAGAATTGAAAACAAGAACCAACACCAAGGGCCACGACTATAAACTGAAAAACTGCGCTGCAACTTATCCACGCTACAACATTTCTTCTCGCTTCGAATCAGCGACATGTGGAACAGCCTCCCCGATTACGTCGTTGACGCTCTTAGTATGAACGCGTTCAAGAACAGACTAGATAAAGCTATGGAAAAATATATGTTCAGATTTGAAATGCCTAGCACCATATCGAACCCAGTAGAAGTCTAGTAACTGCTTCAAACTATCTTCATTCTTGAAAAGATCCGGTCAAATGACACGATTTTAGATCTTCTGTGAACTAGTCACGAAAGGTAAGAATCGGCGACAGGCAACATCAGACCTTCTCTTCAGCACCGACATCGCTATGTTATGTTATGTACGTTAACTAATCACGTCTTGTATCATAACATAACATAGTGATGTCGGCGCTGAAGTGTAGGCCTGATGTGGCCTGTCGCCGATTCTTTTGTCGCCGAACTAATGTGAGGTTGACCCACGGCCATGACGATTTTTCGCTGTTCTGCGCATCTCTAGAGTGACGTCACTGTGGGCACAAAATGTAAATAGTGTAGATCAACACATTGTTTATATGTCATCTTTGAGAGCACTTAAAAAAATTGACCTCGACAAAATGGCCCAAAAAATTCATTTACTGCATGCATGCATACTACAACTAGTCTTATTTTAAGCAAAACCGGTGTTTCAAATCAGTTTGACGTCACGAGGTGACGTCATAAGAGACAAGGTGACGTCACAGTTGGAATAACAGATGACATCCGCAAGGCGCAGCTGCACTATAGGGCAGCTGCGCAACTAGTCTTATTTTAAGCAAAACAGGTGTTACAAATCAGTATTGAATCATCACATGGTGACGTCACAACGACCAAGGTGACATCACGGGTGGAATAACAAATGACATCCGCAAGGCGCAGCTGCGCGTGGGTCGACCTTCTATTAGTTCAACCATGGTCTTGTGTAACCTATCACGTCTTTTCTTACACAAGACGTGATTGGTTGACGTAAATATATTGACGTAGTCCGCCATCAGTGTGGCACACCGGCTATGGAAAACGTCAGCTTCGCTAATTAGCGGTTAGCGGATTAGCGGACTGTGCCCACCACTGTAATGATAAGGTTACACGTTACAGTTATTTCGCGCTACGATCAGACAGTCGAAGCTCACCTACCTCTTTCGTTCGAAACTAATCTTAAACGTTAATTCCAACGTTGCTAAAATACATACTTGTGGTATTGGACAAAAAATTCAAATTACTTCTTCAATCGACGCGTGAGATTAGATACAACTTAACCCATCTAAGAGTTTGAGAAGAGAAAGACTCATCAACATGCAAGTGAATAAGTTGTCACCTATAAATTTGGGTTTGTGTCCACATAAATATTGTTGGAAAATTGTTAAAGGACAACGAGTGCAGACACTCATGCTTGAACTAGTGTAAACATGCTGACGTTAATCTGATAGACACATATATGCTCCTGGAGTTACGTCATCATATCAGCACTTACGCCGCTCGTAAGTCGATTTGCGTACTTACGAAGTTTTGATAATACGGCCCCTGATCTGGTAAAGCCTTAGTCAGCACAAATCGAAATTGATTGAAACTTCCTAAAATTGTGCAATTTATTAAATAGTCGTATACAAGCTTTCGAGCAAGAAGTTGCTTAGACATCTTGTAGAAAAAAAATGGGTAGATGAACACAATAACAGAATTTTGTGCACTAGGTTGCTTTCACGAGACATCGGCCAGGCGCCAGTCGGCCAGAGTGAGGCAGGCTTGAAAAGTTCAAGGAATTCTGAGTACATAATAACTTATCCAGATTACTGAGACCCAACGAGTGCTGCGGTGTGGCGCTCAAAAACCATGCGTTTAAAGTAACTAAAACCTCATTCGGGGATCTATTTAACTTTAAACAAAAATATATTTGATAAAGAGGGCAGGGTGGAAGTACCAAATTGTAGCAGTGAGTTGTTGGTACGATCCCAGATGCCTGCGACAGTTCTGCTCAAATCGGCGAGGAGGCCGGGTGGTTAACCACAGAAAATTTTTTGCAGTGAGTTGCGTGCTCGAGACCCGAAATAAGCTGCAAAAATTCTGTAATGTTCAAAATCGGTGATATGTCCAATGGCTTATATATGTCACATCGCTATTACAATTGCTAAAAACATCTGCACATCCTAAGCTTTGGTAGCTTCACTTAATAGACATTTGCTTGCTGACGCTCGACTTGACTAGCTATATGAACATGCTGAATTTATCAGAATTGTTCTACCCTTTCTTACCCACGGCGGACGTAGGTGCCGGTGGGTAGCACTGATACGCCTGTGGCAGGCCAAACTGGGTCATTGTGACCAACCACAAGGACGAAAAGTGCATCGATACATGGACAGCCTCGATCATTTCTCTGTGAACGCCTCACGATATCAGCGCAGAGCATACGAGAATATTCATACGAACTTCCAAAATATTCGAACATCTTTGTTGAAATAAAACAGTTGTTGCAGACAATTTCGGTGCGTCGTATATTTTTTCTATTCCCAATTAATGTTGGACATCAAGAAAAAATCAATGTCCCATCATTGTTTTAGTTATAAAGGTTTATAATATATTAAGAAACCAAATATAATGAATAGTCGGGTATTATACTATATTAAATATTACATGATTGATGTTTAAATGATAATACTATGATATTTAAACAACGTCGGGAGCATGGAAATGAAAATTTTCTGTTGCTTTAATTTGAAGTATTTTTATTACACATCTCTTCCTCCTCACATCTCACTCGCTTGTGCTGCAAACTTTTAACCAACTGTTCTGAGAAGTAATATAAGCGCACTGTTTTTTTAATGTGACATCTGAATGCATGAATGAATGATTGAATGCTAGTGATTAGTCTACAGTTGAAGGATATTAATTTCTAGGCTTGGATACCAACCTCATATGGTGTAAAATACATGAAATAGGAAAGCGATGAAAACATTCACATTCTAATTGCTTTTATTTTGACTCTATGCGACATATGATTATTGAATTAATTTATGATTTGCTCTTCATACTTCCGAAAATATGGGGGTCTTACCCAATGTTTAGTTTACTGTTATTTGCCAAATGATTATTTACGTGATATAGATTAAACAGTTCAAAGTTTTTATGTATAGCCATGCAAAGAGTTTCCAAAATTGCATGTTCTAACCTAGGAATATAACTGTGAAAATTGAAATACTTAAAATATCTTAATTTATTGTTAGATTTGCAATTTAGCTGCTGAAGCACTCGCAGTTAGTGGGTGCTGAATATCTTTTTTTTAGCACGCGCAAAAATATGAATTCGTTCACATTGAAATATGAATAAGTTCACATTATTGTCTAAATAGTGACACACTTTCAAACCCGCAACAGTAGCATCGAACGAACGTAGCTCAGATACGCACTCTGGCCAGGCAAACTGGGTCAGGATGACGCACACAAGACAGAAAAGTATCGATTTAAAAAAAATTCATCTATTTTGCGTTTATAATGATGGAACATAAAAAAATGCACTTTAAATTCAAACCGAGTGCAATTAGCGGTGGGTGGTGCTAAACGGAGGCTTCGAGTGCGAATGCAATGTATTGTTTTAATTACTAAAATTGAGCTTAATTTATCGTTGGTGAAAATTAATTGATCATAGTTAGTGAAAGTCTTGATTATTGTTAGTAAAGATTAATTAATTGTAGTTAATGAAGATCTTAAGTTATCGTTAGAGAAGATTAACTGGTTATAGTTAGTGAAGGTCTTATAGGTTATCGTTGTGAAGATTGATTAATAGTAGTTATAGACTTATAGTGAAGATCATAAGTAGTCGTTAGTGAAGATTAATAGCATGTAGTTAGTGAAGATCTCAAGTTATCGTTAGTGAAGATTAATAGCTTGTAGTTAGTGAAGATCTTAAGTTATCGTTAGTGAAGATTTATAATAGCTTGTAGTTAGTGAAGATTTTAAGTTATTTCTTAAGTTATCGTTAGTGAAGATCTTAAGTTATCGTTAGTGAAGATCTTAAGTTATCGTTAGTGAAGATTAATAGCTTGTAGTTAGTGAAGATCATAAGTTATCGTTAGTGAAAATTAATAGCTTGTAGTTAGTGAAGATCTTAAGTTATCGTTAGTGAAGATTAATAGCTTGTAGTTATAGTGAAGATCTTAAGTTATCGTTAGTGAAGATTAATTGATTGTTTAGTTAGTGAAGATCTTCATGCACTAACGATAGCAAAAGATCTTCACTAACTTCATGCAAAGTGAAGATCTTTCGCTATCGTTAGTGTATGAAGATCTTGAGTTATCGTATGTGAAGATTAGTTGATTGTAGTTAGTGAAGATCTAAGGTTATCATTATTGCAGATTCTCGCTGCTCTGATGGGATTTTTTTGTTTGCCAGTTTTAGGTTTATATAGTTGCTGATATTATGGCATGCATATATATTTATGAGATTATAGTATGAGTTTGATGGAATTCACATGAGTGCGCAAGGAAGAAATAGTCATACTATGCTATCTAGATAAACCATATCTTGGCAACATTTAGCTATATGTGAGTACTCGGGCTTGTCGAGTGGTTAAGAGGACCCAAATTAGAGCAGCGAGTTGGAGGTTCGAATCCCGCAACAAGTAGCGAAAATTCTATATAGTCGATAAAGACAAGAGTTATGGAATGGTTAAGATCACCAATATTGGAGCAGCAAGTTGGAGATTCGAAACTCACAACGAGTGAAGCAAACTTTGGTCGAAAGCGGCAATTAGGCTATAATTGGTTATGAATCTGTGACAGCCTAAACAGAGCGTTATCAAAGCAGACGACATTAAGTATATCTTCTTATATTATTGAAACTTGTGGGACGAAACGTGTTAAGAAGTGCCCTGATGCCATCCATTTTCGTTGAAGGGACGCATCACACTATTACGTACTTGAGGCAGATGACGGGCAAATAATAATAATAAAAACACTTGATGGGGAAAAAGTTGAAGTTTCCGTATTGGTCGAGAGCAGCAGCAACTTCATTGCCAGGTTGGCAATAATAATATTCTTGTGTATTATGCAATAAAGTTGGGGTCGTGACAGGTCCTCCAGTAACGAGTTGACCGTTGGGCCAGTACAGCGTCTTGTTTTTGTAGACGTCCTGAGCAGACGTGAGGGCATAGTTGCGGTCAGACAGCCATTCGCCACCAGCTGCAGCTGAGCAAAAAAATTTATTTTGAAACTAGCAAAAATAAGCGACGTTATATAGCTTTGTACCTCCAGCTAGATAAAGAAAAATTTATTTTACGACTTGTAGTTGGGAAACAGCAATGTTGTTTATCTTCGTATTATTTGCAATTCTGTGCCTTAACAATTATTAAATTATTTGAATCATTATCTTCCTTTTATTGGCGGCCAATATTGTTTTAGAAATAATCATAAACGTTAAAAATAATGTTCTCTTAGATATATGTCTATTGATTAAATTAATTAAGTAATTAATTTGTATTATTTAACTACATTAGCTAATAATTTATTTTAATAATTAAGCTAAATAGTAATTAAAATACTAATGTTATCATTCTAACTCTGGAGAAGAGCTACGGCCATCTTGTACAGGCTAGGCGACATGTTGGAGGCAGGAACACCTCCTTCTCGTGAACACAAAGACTTTTGGGACTCCAGGGTGAAGTCATAGGTGGACTGACTCAGCAGCAGGTAGGGCTCTGCAACACGAAATGTGGGTTAGTTTGACACACTTGGGGCCTGCGATACGAGGTATATGGGTTAACCTGACGCACTTGGGTTTAGTGATATAAGGTATGGGTTAACTTGACGCACTTGGGTTCTGCAATACGAACATGGGTTAATTTGACACACTTGGGTTATGCGATACGAGGTATGGGCTAATTTGACACAATTGGGTTTTGCGTATGGGTTAATTTGACACATTTGGGTTTTGCAAAACTTGAGTTTTGCCAGATCTGAAAATATTCCTTGTGATGCAATAAGGCTCGAGAGGACATCTATTAAGGACATATATATATGGTATAAATATTCTAATATAAAATATATATATTGCAAGATAGCAGCAGTGAATGTTTCAATTTCTAATATGCCTTGACAAACGATCTAGCTAGAAATGCCTTGAAAAATTGTGAATATCGAGCTTTAATGATTCATTAAATCGAGCATTACATCAAGATTCAACACCATACCGATTTTGTACTTGAAAAACGTCACAACGTCAGGCTGCGGGAAGGTCAATTTCACGTCGGATGGATGAGGTAGCGAAGAGGAAGTACACTTCGACGTGCTAAAGTTGTACGTCGTAGCTTTGCACGACACTTGCACGAAGCACCTCATCTTGCACTCACCTGCAGTGTGAAAATATTAGTGCACAGTGACAGTAAAATGTATCCAAATATGACATTCATGATATGAGATTCACAGTCACACTTTATATGAGATTCACACTCACACTTGCAATGAGATTCACACAAATTAGCGGTACTTTATCTAAATATATAGCGTTGAATTTTCTACCTCTGTGCGGGTCGTGACGCAGTTTAGTCGGACCAAACTACTTAATGTTTGGAACACTAGGTCTGCTTTATGCTTTTGGTGTTGGTGATCAATTGTTTCTCTATCACACAATAATATCGATCATATATTCTGAGTTAATTTCATTTTATGAGTTTACAATTTTAATTTTAAGCTTATCAATCGGGTGAGATTATTAAATATTCGAGCTCTCACTTTATCTTATCAAATGTAGGAGCACGAATTATAAAATGTCAAGTTAGTAGAAGCGTGTAAGTAATATTAGTTGGTGCTAGAAAGGAACAAATTAGTGAAGCTAATAATTTACTTAATAACTGAATTAATAAAATTCTTCATTACATATGGTGGATGTTGTGCTGGCCGTTGGATTGCTGATCGCCACGTCAGTGAGCATAGACTGGAACAGCCCCATGGCAGCAGCGCTGCTGAGAAGCAGGAGCATGGAAATAGCATTCTTCCACATGACGTATATAATCCTTTAAGTCCCTGAAAAAAACATAGGGAAATATTTAAGAGAATCCTACAAAACCTGTCGCAAAGGTAATGAAGCTACAGATAGGTAATTCAAATCCGCGTTTGAAAAAATTAGTTTCATTCCTGGAATGTTGAAAAAATAAACAAATTAATATATTTTTTTACATCGTTCATGGTTTGGAGCTTAATACGCTCGAGTTAAAATTAAAGTCTATTAACAATCATTAAGCAAATGAATTATATACCACCGACGTCTTCGTTAAGTTCAACTATTTTTCCTGTTTGTTTTTTGCATTTTACTGTTTTCGAAGAAATTTCTATAACTTTCGTGGCAACATACCTGCGATTTCTAAAATAATTTTCGTAGTTACTTGAAATTACTGAAAAAAATAAGGTTGCTGCGTTCAAGCTCGAAACGACTAAATTGTTGGTCTGTTAGTGAGGCTACTACGGCCGAAACACAAGGATACCGATGATATCAAAACTAAAACTACGAGCTATTCAACCGTCCAAGTCAACAGGCAGCGCACCTTTGTTTGAATGCTGCCACAACAACCAGCTTTAGCTCATCGAAAAATCAATCGTTGCGGTGCGACAAACTTTACTCGGTACGGTTGCCACCAACTGAGTAGCACCTCGGTACGGTTGCCACCAACTGAGTATCACGAGTGATATTTAATCACAACTAACTCGCTCTGAAAGCGAAGTAGTTCTCTTGAGGAAATCGAACATTCTAATCTGACTTGAGCTAAACTTTGACGTGATAACCACTACTCTCTGTACAACTTGGGTCGTAACCTTTTAAGTCTTAATGAATGTGGTGCACGATGAATGCCCCACGAGTTCATTTATAGTCAGTAAGCGATTAACGATGCAACAAGTTTTCTCATTTGAACGTGCGTGAAAAAAAAAATTGAAATCATATGAGGATTGGATTTGAGTATTGGATTCGTTTTATTTTAACGATGCAAGCTTAACTGTTGTCGCCCGTGACTTGCTACGAGCCTCAGACTTCAGCAGTTCTGAGTCAGAGGTTTCAGATAAAAGCTTTTACTCAGAACTTTCAGAGGAGAGCTTTTACTCAGAACTTTCAGAGAAGAACTTCTGTTCAAAACTTTCAGCAAACGGCTTCGGCTCATATATATCTGGGAGCAGTCTGTGCTCTGATTCTCAGAACTCTCTGCTTGAAAAACCTCTGCACTGTACTTTCAGAACCTTCACTCTCTTCGCTGTACTCTCAGAACCTTCACTCTCTTCGCTGTACTCTCAGAACCTTCACTCTCTGCACTGTAGTCTCAGAACCTTCACTCTCTGCACTGTACTCTCAGAACCTTCACTCTCTGCACTGTACTCTCAGAATCTTTACTCTCTGCACTGTACTCTCAGAATCTTTACTCTCTGCACTGTACTCTCAGAACCTTCACTCGGAAAGAACCTATGAACCAGATTTTCAGTCGCACATTCACAGCTCTTGCTATGAATTTAACATGAGGACTTAGCGTGCCAACTGCCTAGTCGACGTTGATTACATTTGTAACTTTGTGCTTAGAATGATTTTGATGCAGTATTGTACATTGCTCCTTAAATATGACACGAATAGAATATATTTTTCTGGTATATTTTATGTGTATTTTCGGTGAATTTCCGCACACGAAAAAAGACTGACTAAGAATACCATGTCAATATTATCCTGATATAAAAATTGGGTAAAGTTATAATTGAAAAATGTAGATAATCCTGCAAAAATAATGGATAATCAGAGGTTATAGATTTTAATAAAATTTTAATATAGATTTATAATAATAATTATATAATTATTATAACTATATTAATAATCAATAAATTATAATTAATTAATTAAATTAAACAGGTGAAATTTATTATGAATTTTACAAGCTCATTAAATTACCCGTATTAATTTAAAATCTTGTCTTATTGATGCCTCCACACATTCCTCTGCTTAAGTCCCTATATATATGGTCCTAAGGCCAAGTGCAATATATTCTACATTGATTCTTGGATAGACAACGAGGATATTGAACTGAAATATACAATGTATTGTACATTGATATTTTAATAGTTGACGGGGATATTGAACTGAATAGAATATACTGTATACTGATATTTTAATAGTTGGCGGGGGATATTGAACTGAATACAATATACTGTATACTGATATTTTAATAGTTGACGGGGATATTGAACTGAATAGAATATACTGTATACTGATATTTTAATAGTTGACGGAGATATTGAACTGAATAGAATATACTGTATACTGATATTTTAATACTTGGCGGAGATATTGAACTGAATAGAATATACTGTATACTAATATTTTAATAATATTTGACGGGGGATATTGAACTGAATAGAATATACTGTATACTGATATTTTAATAGTTGACGCGGGATATTGAACTGAATAGAATATACTTTATACTTATACTTTAATACCATGATGGGGATATTAAACTGTGGGTAGAATATATTTTTCAGTGGGTAGTTCAATTGGGTAAAATATTTTTCAGTGGGTAGTTCAATTACATACTAACTTTTTATTGATTTGTGAGAGATTATACGAAAAATTAAGTTTGAATTTGTCACTTTATTTTGCAGATCGGAATTAAGTTTTGGCAAATGATGGACCTGAAACAGTTTCAATCTCAATTGATAATATTCTTCATTATCAAATTTGGTTAATTGGAATTATTGCACACGAAGCTCCACCTGCATATATTTTAATATAGTAAAGGTTAGTGTATAGAAGGCCCCATATATAGTTTTATTGATAGATTCTCGAGAATATAAAGTATATTGAGAAGGTTCAAAGTGATATCACAAGGTGTTTCTTTATAATATCTATTAAAAGAGGATTATATAGGACATAAATAATATAATTTAATATATAACATTGTGGTATTGCAATATATATATATATATATATTATGAGCTTGCAGTAAATTGTACCAAGACTAGGCTACAAGTGCTGGTTGATTATTTAAATAGATTCGACTCCAAAAATCTGATCGTGAAAAAAATTCTAAAGAGTGCTTCTGAATAACGTTGACTGCTTGGTGGTCAGTGCGCACTCGGCTCTATGAGTAAAAATTGCGCAAATGGTTAAACCGCCAATAAATACATGCTCAAACAACGTACAATACATGAAAAATAACGTGTCGTCAAGTGTCGATTCAATCAAGGAGCGCTTTGAAGTAAGAAGTTATTTATTCCACATATCAATTGAAATTAATGTTTTTCGTATATTATGCAAGGTTATTGCGGTGTAACGAATAAATTTAAGCACATTTATATTTTTATTTGCATGAAATAAATTACTCATAGGAACTTATTTAAAAATTCAATTGTAAGCAAAGTTGTTGTTTCTGATAAGAATAGTTCAGCAAAGATAGTGATTGCCTTCGACCATTTTAATTTGTTCCGTTATTAACGATAAAAGAATGGCTCGTCAAAGGCTTAATAGCCTGCAATAAATTCAATTAGTTCCGAGCACAGAGTTTCGGACGCCGAAGATGTAACCAATGAAGACAACCACGAACGTGAAGTAAGAAAGCAGAGAAAAGATGGCCAGATATTTGTTCAGCTTGGTTGGAAATGTGAAGTTCTGGTCTTCTTCTGTCTCTTCGTCTTCATCTTTATAAGGATGGATCTTCACTTTCTGTAGGAGTAAAGGAACGATTTACTGACTTGTGATTAAACTTAATAATCATTCGAGATGATTGTTAAGCTAAGAATTATTGATACTTTGTGATATTCCTACAAATCGAAAATAAAAAAGCTAGAATAGAATAAAAACTTCTGTCGATTACCTCAATTCGCGATAATAATTAAATTAAATGAGCAATTCTAAATATTTTTTTTATATCGTTCACAGATGGAAAAAAAGCTGAAAAACAGTTAAGTCTGTCAATGCATCCACTTCATTTATGACTGGAAATGAATCGACGATGAATCAATTTAGAAGAGGAATTCCATATAGGAGCCAGCGCTAGCTGCATGAAGGCTTACAGACTGAACTGGTCTCTGAAGCCAATCATAACATTTTATTCTCTGATGAAGTTTACATTGCCACACAAGAATACTGAAGTTTTGATGCCCAAATCTTACTATCACGGGGACAAAGCCACCAGAAAATGAAGTACCGCTCCCCACCTTCAGCCATCACTTTGTTCTTCGCCTCATGAAATTTATCTAAAAATGTTTGGAAGTTGCAGGGTTTGGCAGTGAGAGGAAACGCGGCTGTCTATATAGCTCCACTTTTTACCATCGCTCCCCCCTTAATTGGCCCTTTCTTGCCTTACCTTCAACCATCGGTCCCCTTCCTCCTTGTCGGGCCCCAGCTTCTGGTTGACCACCTCGAGCAGCACCATGCAGAAGAACGCAACCGCCATGATCAGCACGTGGATGAACATCCACGAGTCGATCATCTTGGGGTCTGCCGAGACCGGCAGCGTCGAGCCGATCTAAAAAAAGAAAGTAGCAATTAAAATCTTTCATGTAAAGAAATGAACGATCGTAGTGGATATCTATTTTAATTATAATAGATATAATTAAAATAAAATATATGATTGCATATGCATTAAAAGCTAGCCGTCGAATAACACGCTATCAGACTGGAGAATTCAAGCTCCAAGTAAAATTTTTACGGAACGAAATTTTATTTTCATTAGGCGCAGACTTTTAACGAAGTGTATGTTCGGTACGTACCCAGTATACGAATAATATATTATCAGAGTATGCTATTCAGGCTTTAAATAGAAATCTTTAAATGGAAGAGGATAACGACTAAAGTGAATATATTCGGTGAGAACTAGCAAATAGTTATACGCGTTATGCCTGCGAAACCTGATATTACAATGAATGAATGAATATATAATGGCGGATATATTTCCCACATGGGGGGAAAAGATAGATGGTTCAATCACCTGCATGAGTATGGATCGTACTGTAGATGGATTATTTCGATCTTTGCTGAAAAATGTTAGTTGCTTATGAGGAATTTTAGTTGCAACTGTTTTTACTTCTATACCTAGGTAAGAATAATTGCGATTTATACATTCAAGTTGGCAGAGGAGAGGCGGTTGATTGTAAATGCCACATGGGAGAGAAGGGTCTGTTAGATTTATTTCCTGTCTACCTATGGGGTATTGGTTGTCTTTCTGACCTGGAGGATGAAAGGCAGTTGTTCGTATTTAATTTTCCTACCTGGGTGCATGAGGGGGGGCAATTGATTGTATTTCCTAGCTGGATAAAGAGATACAATAGGATTAATTTCCTACCTGGGTGAGCAGAGCTGCCATGACGATGAGACAAGAAATGCTGACGGTGAGTCTGTCACTTAGGTTTTCCAGAGGTATGGCGAAGACGCTGAGGCCGATCAGCTCCATGACGAAGCACGGCAAGAAAGTTACGAGGATGTCACTACCGTAGCGACGTGCGATCCGTAGCTCGAACATCATCTGTATAGCGTGACAACTAATGTAGAATTTCTCGCGAATTGCCCAATGTTAGTAATAAACGTAGTCCATTATATTTATATCTCCAAAGTATTAAAAACCCTTCTTAGTCCTGCTTTTTAAGACACTGTAAAGCTTCGGTTAGGATTCCCGCAACCTCTCATTTTCGGTTTCAGAATAACAAGGCTTTTTAGCTTATTTGATGTGAACGCAAGGGATCTTAAATATAGCGTCCAAAGACGCTAAATGTTTGCAATTGTCTTCGAATAAACAATGGACAAGTTAAAACCGGCTTGAAGCAAGATAAAACCGGCTTGAAGCAACGCTGATTACCTTCTGGTAATCAGCGTTGAAATGTTTGCCTTATTTGTCCAATTAGTTTTGAAAATTGAAGGCTTGACAGGGATTGGATAGGTCAAGGAAATAGTTAATCTATATATTTCACTATTATAATTACAACACAATTTACGAAGAAATTTGATCTTAATCGCAGAATATGTTTACCGAACATAGAAGTACTGTGTGGTGTAATAGCGTTAACAGTAATTGTAGTGTCGACATTAGGCTAAATCTGGCCGCACACCGATTCTGGAAATCGACATTTTTTTACAGCGATCTTGGCTCGTACCCGCAGTCCACTGCTACAATTTTGGCGCTTCTAACTTTAATTCTCGACCATACATTCCATACCCTGTACGAAAATTAGTACTCAATTTGATGATCTATAAGGTTCTGACCGCATGTTGATTGTCCTGATTGGATTTCTTCTTGAAGTAGATGAACTGGAAGAGCTGCAGCGGCGACCCGGTGTATTCCAACTGCTCGTCTTTAGACAACGACCACTGAACGTCGTCGGAGTTGATCTTCCCTTGAAGAGACAGGTTGAAGCGGCACGTCTGTTTAGATTAATAGAGTAAAACATTAACGTTATTAGAGCAAGATTGCAGACGCAGGTCGGTCCACTTTCATACCGGAAGGCGAAAATTATTAGCGTCAGGGTCAAGTGGCACTTCTACCTAGAATTATAGAGAGAGGTTGAACTATACTATATACTTCAATTATGTGAACATCAGGTTGAAGAGGACATCTGCTGTTTAATTTCATCGATAAATGAACATTTATTATAACATTAATAGTGTTACCATACAAAATTTTTGTCCGTAGTCTAACTTTAATCGTCAGTGTATATAGATTTAACTTAAGAAAATAAGTCATGTTTGTGCGGATGTCAAATTAATCAAAGACTAATATATAAATTTTTTAAGGTTCAACTGGAACTGAATTCATCACGTCTTGACATATCGTCAGCAGACTGACGCCTCCGAATGTCCACGGAGTTTATTTTGTGCCAAACAAGTATTCGAACCCACAAATAATTTTACAATGAAATGACTTTGATATACCGTTGTTTAAATTAATTCGTAATCTACGTTGTTTTAACGTCTTTTACTTAGAGAGAAGACTCACTTGGATATCGAATGGGTAGATGTAGAGATCCATTGGACACATCAGAGTCATAATTGCTGACTTTTGATGTTTGATGAGTACGTCCTTTCCTGCGTGTTCTATCACTGCAAATTGATACAAAAAATTAGCCTTGATTATAAATGATATATGAGCCATTGAAGCAAGAGCTTAGTAATTAATGACATTAAGACCATTTGTTAAATCCATATGCAAAAGTTGAGTGCAATGGAATCTTTGCAACATAATGTCAAACTGTAAACGTAGCATTTTTAGAGACAATGAATCTAACATCTATCAATCTCGATGGTCACATTCTGGCCTGTAGGAAGGAAAATGATAATTTAGTTCGATAAACTTGAACTTATGGGAGCTGATTACTATCGAGTCCACATTTTAGTTAGTATTCAACTTATATTCGATGCGAAGCTGGAAGCAATAGTATCCTAACCTTCATTTCCCTGAAAAGTTGAAGCGTTTCCGAGTTCTTGTGCGATAATGTACATCTGATCGGGCGCCGTGTCCATGGAGAGAGCCGACACATCTTCGTTCACGACCCCATCCAATTGTATGTCAGGCTGCCAGTAAAAAGAGGCATCTTTCTGAGGCACCAAAGTTTCATTACACTTGTAGATATTGTGGAATACAACTCTTTCGTCCCTCCAGTAGGCCGTGGCTTGCAAATTTACCTTCACAGTACCTTCATTCATGTCGAGTTCCAGAATCCGCAAGAGAGCGACTTTTAGATCAACTTCAAGGGTCTTCTGGCCCGACAGCTGATTGTCGTAGTAAGATGGTCGATTTTGAGTGTAGTTACAGAGTTGCTCGTCTGTGAAATCCTCGCAGTCAGCGTTGAAGTTGCAAATTTGCCAAAGATCTACGCACTGTCCATTTGTGCAAGTGAACTCGCCTTCCGAACAAGCTGTCAACGTGAGAGATAAAGAGAAAGGTGGCGAAGCGTCTGTCATAAGCCATTGTTTCCGACCCATGAGATTGTCCATCGCAAGGAGACTATTTTTGACATAAATTTCCTTAGAAATGGAGTTCATGATGTAGAAAGTCATATCAGATTCTGAGTATTCTAAACGTAAGTCATATTCAGCATCCCAAGTCAGCTTATTTTCGATCATCTTCAAAGGCAAACGGTTGACATCAGCGTACTGTGCACCTCCGATGAGGTAATAGATTTTCGACCTCAGAGCGGAACACAAAGTACGTCTTGAACGATTACACTCACTTGAACTTTCGAAAGAAATTCCAGCAGGGGAAATGCTCATGGAAAGACAGCTATTGTTCGGCGACATCACCCAAAAATTGGACAGACTCTCGCTAAGCACGTTTCTGGCATAGGCGAGTAGAGCTGAATTATCAACTGTAGACGTATCCAGCAAAGTTCCGCCAAATCTTTTACAAACGCTGGCAGCCTTGTAGTAAGGCAGTGTTTTGGTCACTTGAAACCACATACTTGCTGATTGATTTGCGGTCAGATCTGCCTTGTCAAATGCAGTTATAGCAGCTGACGCAGGTACAAGAGAAGTAGATGAGGGCATTTTAATCATCGAGATGTACTCCCCAGTAGTGTTGACGAAGGATCGTACCTCCTGTACTTTGTTGAGTCCAAGTTTCTCTAGGTAGAGCCGGGCGTCCGCTATCTTACCACATAGGGGTTTCAAAACCATCTTATTCCCGCCTAACACGAGCTGACTGTTACTGGATGTGAGTAAGGTTGTTCCTCCAAAAGAACAATCCTGGTTAGGAGCCATGACTTTTCCATCAATGTAGGTGACGATTCGGTCTCCCATTGCCAAGCAGATGTGAATCCACTGCCGTAGTGGTACGTTGAAGGGGTAGTAAAGAGTGCACTTCATGTGCTGGATGTATAATTGCGACGAAAATACTGTCGATGAAAATTTTGAGATTTATTAAATGGACCTACCTTGTAAGAATTGTTGTCAGTCTACTTTAAGAGAAACAGGTTGAAGCGTTCAATCTACAATCGATTTCTTGTTAACATTTTTAATATATGTGAAAATTGAGCATCTATAAACAACGAACTGTCGAAATTTGCAGACACAAAATTATAAATAGTAAATGAAATTGCAGAAATGTTAGACATATTAGGCAAATACGTAAGTCTTCACATACATCAACGGGTGTTAGTGGATATTTATATCGACAAATTCAGGGGTCATAAGTTGGCACTAATGAACCATAGTCCGACTTAGTCATAAGTTAAACAATACAATCTATACCTAAGTTAGAAGTGATGGAACCATAGCCCGAAATGATCTTATGTTACACAATGTAATCCCTACCTTAAGTTTGAACTAATGTTAAAAGACAATGTTATCACTAGTATATAAACTCGTACTCCCAAGGTTGACCATGTTGAACTGATTGCCTTCCTTCGCCGTGAGGCTAAGGACGTCGTCGTTGTATCGGCGGTTCTTCAGGTAGAGCCAGAGGCACAAGCTCGCCTCGGGCGAAGGTTTCCCCAGGTTCATTGGAGCACTCACAGTATACATCATCTTATTTTCGTTAGCCTTCACACTTTCGAACTGTGCAGTGTAATTTATTGCTGAAATGCTATCTTCTGCCATGAACTCGATCATGATGACATCATTGGGTTCTGTGGAACGGAGAATGATAGTAATTTGTGAAACATTTGGCCTTATAGCCTCATATTAATTATGCTATGTTAATAATGGTATGTTAATTATGGCATAATACTCATTATGTTAATTTTCTGGACCCATATCACGAGAAAATTCATAGGAATTGTGATTCGGATCTGACAAAATTTCCTATAAAATAATAATTTTCAATTATTTGTAAGGTGTTTTGCTCTGAATTAATTGTAACTCAGAATATTAAAAAAATCTATTAGAAGACACTGAAAAAATAATTGCATAGACGTAATTTACTCATTCAATTCAAACTTTGTTTAATCTCTACAAATATATTAATGTTACTCATATTCCGATTTGCATTGAATGCAATCAGTAATTCTCGAACTAAAATGTAACGAGCCACTTAAATTGCATATTTCACTCACTGAGGCCAGATGCAAGACTATCAATGAAGTCCTGTTGATCGGATGATGCCGTAGTGTTCACCAATCCCGAGACGTTCAATCCCGTAGTGTCCGCCAATCCCGAGACGTTCAATTGTGTTGGTGCGAATGTTTGAGCTCGACACGCACGAGCGAAGAGCAGCAGAGAGAGCAGCCGCAGCAACTCCATCATCCTTGCTGCTTCTCTTGACTATTTGTAATTGTTTATTTGACTTGACTATTTGTAATTGAAACAAAGAGAAAAATTAAAATGTCATTACATAATGAGTTTTCTCAGTACCCCCAAAAATTTGAAATTTATCTGTCGAGATGAAAGTAAAATCAATGTTTGCTCAACGTGCTATATGATTTTATGATGTGTTTTGACTGTAACCGCTAACGGCGACACTGGTGCTCCACCTTAACTCTTTCTCTCATGACGTAGCGGCTGATTTCTCGTATGCAATTGGTAGGTTTAGCTTGACAGGACCTCAGCATAGTGGTTGGCTCCCAGAGTTACAAACTTGTAACTATTTTGGATTGTATGAAGATTTTGTGCAGACATTTGTAACTAGCAGACATACCAAATTGAAGCTGTCATGAGATTTTCATGTTGATATTGAAATCTTGATTTAAAGTTGCAATACTGATTATGCAGAAATAAACATCAAATTGAAATCGGAAAGCTGACTAATAATATTATCGGTGAAACGCAAACAAACCCGAATTCAATATTGAAACGACATGGATTTTTGATTAATTATATGTTTTATTAAATAACAACAGGGAATTTAACATTTTATGTTCTATAAATTCCCTTCTAACAATAAAGGGTAAAATAAATGGTATAAATGATCCTGATCCACATTAATGCTACGATATATAGCACCATATACGCGATAAGCGAAGGTCATGCTGACAACGTTTGATGATAATGATAGAAAATTAAGTATTTTTTAATGTATTGTTCTTTAATCAGCAACCACAAAAATTCAATTTCATCTGCATTTCAACATCGCGCTGATGTTCCTACGTCAACGTTAAGCATCGCATATCGTCAATGTGGAATATCACCTTCGAACATAATAACCTAGTTGCCTTTCTACCTTGAAGGTTAAACATCGATCAAAATTTATTCCTTTCTTTGGAGGAGTTTAGGTTCTTATAACTACTTCTATGTACGGCTTAAATTAAAAAATATTAATTTAGAGAAGTTAGACAACTTATTATAGTGTTTTTTTTGGCTGATTTGTGAGCCTTTACTGGAAATTAAAGCAAAAACTATTACCTATGATTGAAGCGCTAAAATGCCAGTTCGCCAAAAATTGAGTAATGTGACAAATTTCATTGGGAAAGATCTTAAATTTTCAGCAATAAGCACGGTAAAAACAATCAAATCTTGAAGCGTGACGTCCATTTAATTAGTCGTATAACGACCAGGATTAAATATTCATACCAAATCCTCTGATGACAATTATCATGCAGGACTTCATCGATTCTCAAACTTTGATTCACTTTAAATAAAACCTGCAAAAAAAATTGCACCATGATTTTATTATTCAACGATGACCATGTTTTATTATTCAACGATGATCTCCATGTAAAGTCTGAGCGCACAAAGGATAATAAATAACTGAAATTTTAACCTTTCTAATCAGTTTGGCTGTCAAGATTCTTCGAAATGTTCTGCAAAAAGTATTGGCCTTGGGTGAGAACTAATGTCTTAAATCGGCACGAAATTGCAGACGTCGTGACAAAGAGGTTCGCTGCCACCGAACTGCAAAAAAGTTGATTGAAGCTGTCCGTTCGTGTGTCGATGCTGCGAGGTCATTTATTGACTTACCTGAAGATTAAATTATACCTTATATTCTAGTGGTCGTAGAAATTCCAAGAACCTTTAGATCATGAAAAAGTGATTCTTCATTTGTAGGAAACGTTCGTTGTTTTCACTCCATCACAACACAGATATTTGCGTTGCTATGGGTATACAGTTGAATATTTTCAACACCACATCATAGATATTCGTGCTTTATGTTGCTAAGCGCACCATCAAGACCACATCACTTAATTATTATTAACTTTATGACATTATAAGGAGTATTGCGAAAGCTATAAATGAGATCTCTCGCAGAGCTTCTTGTTAGCACGGAATTGAGTTAGATATTTTTTGGTTTGATCAAGACTAGCTAGATATTTAGATATTTTTTGGTTTGATCAAGACCCAAATCAAGATCTTTCATGCTAAATCTAGATATTTCTGGATTAATCATAAAGTTCTCGTTAAATCAGACCTTTCTAGTTTAAACAATACGTTTCCGGTTAAATCATGATATTTCTGACCAAAATATAGTTATTTTTGTGGCTTTTTCTGACTTCCTGATCAAAAAGAAGATATTTATAGTCTACTAAATGTTTAATAATAATAATAAAATTAAATAATAGTTAGTTTCAATTAAATAAATAAATAATAAGTTCCTACGGTGTGACCAGTGACACTAAACTAAAGTTTCCAAACCGCCCACTGAAGGACAAGATAGCGACAGGCCAGGCTTTCCGTGTCAAGCCATCGTGTCTACAAATGGCAAGTGAAGCAAGTGAAATACTTGGCACGTGTGAGATGAAGAAGTAACGCGAGGTGTCACACGGTAAGCCAGTGGTTCCCAAACTTTTTCAGGCTGGCGCCCCCTTTGGCTCCCTAGTGAATTTCTAGCGCCCCCCCCCCACAGACACATATAAATACACACGCCTCTTTCTTGAAATTTAGTACTCTGCAATTCTAAAAGATAAAGGTTAACATAAATGTGTATTTCGCAAATAGAACCCCATTTAGTGAACCAATATGTTTTTAAGCTGTTTTGACTGTTTCAGCACTAGAAACCTAGGACGTCTCGGGCAAATTTACGGCCGGACTCGTGGCCGGTCTCACGACCAATCTCCCAATTCAATTATCAAGTAATATTTCCCAAACTAATAAACGCAGCTCTATGAAACTTGGAACATGTATTCATCAGAACCTAGCGGTGATATTTAGCTAGTGAAAATTTTTTAAATTTCACCTTCATTCGTGAGTTATATTGCGATACAGGACGAAATTCGCAGTGCGTATGAGATGAAGAAGTGACGTGAGATGTCACTTCTTGACACAAAGAAGTAACGCGAGGTGTCACTTCTTGACACAAAGAAGTGACACGAGGTGTCACTTTTTGACACAAAGAAGATACGCGAGGTGTCACTTCTTGACAAAAAGAAGTAACACGAGGTGTCACTTCTTGACAAAAAGAAGTAACACGAGGTGTCACTTCTTGACACAAAGAAGATACGCGAGGTGTCACTTCTTGACACAAAGAAGTGACGCGAGGTGTCACTTCTTGACAAAAAGGAGTAACACGAGGTGTCACTTATTGGCACAAAGAAGTAACGCGAGGTGTCACTTCTTGGCACAAAGAAGTAACGCGAGGTGTCACTTCTTGGCACAAAGAAGTAACGCGAGGTGTCACTTCTTGACACAAAGAAGTGACACGAGGTTATCGAAAACCTTCAAGGTTTTCGAGAACTTCAAGTCTCTGCCAGACGGGGTTTATTCCGATTCTAAACATCCAGAGGAATGTCAATTGAAAAATTGTGATGAGTAATACATGAACATGAAAGTAAGACAAATTGAATATGAACACGAAGGGAAGACAAACTGAACAGGTACAAGAAAGTTGAAAACGAATATCGTCCAGGAATGTAAAATTTTGAGACGCTTGGTGCGAGGCTGTGGAATGTTGGGACCAGAAGTACAGGGCAGTGGAATTCTAAGACGAACAGTACCTTGATAAATAATTTTGAGACGAGTATGGCAGGGCTGAGAAATTTTGAAACGAGTAGTACACGGATGAGTAACCTTCACTGATATTAGTGAAATAGTACACGAATGAGTAATTTTCACGGATATTAGTGAAATAGTACACGAATGAGTAATATACAGAATACTTTCAACTGAGCGCTACGAGTTTGCCGTCAGAGTGGCGTCAGTTCGATCGGGCAGGGAATTTATATAAACCAATATCGATTTAAATTGAGCATGATATGCAATTTAGATGAGTTAATAGTAGCCTGAGAGTCTTTGTTCCATCGTTGACTCTTACCCAAGGTGAAAGGTCGACAATGGCAGACTCGTTTTTATATGAATATCTCAGTTTTGACGCAAATTATGATCTGTCGGATAAAAAATTAATTTTAACGTACAATTCAGTAACACTTTTGTTCTTTTCAATAACATTTTTATTGTTTTCAGTAATATTTTTATTCTATGTAGTAACATTCCTATTGTTTCCATTACCATTTTCATTGTAATCAGTGACATTTTTATTGTATTCAGAAACATTCTTGTTTCGTTCAGTAAAATTTTTGTTGTATACAGAAACATTTTTGTTACGTTCAGTAACATTTTTGTTGTATACAGAAACATTTTTGTTACGTTCACTACATATTTCTTTCAGGGACAGCTTTATTGTATTTAATAAACAATTAACCATCATTCATTGACAGTTACAAATTTCAGTGTGGATAGCGATTTTTACGCAAGCCTCATAATAAAGGTTCTACATGAGGTCTTTGCTATTATGTTTTCTTCATTGATTAAAAAATTCATGGAAACTCACTCTTACTTGATAAGGACAATGGAATATTTCGATTTTTACAAATTTGTTGTAAATGTATCAATTGTTTTAAGTATGAATGAATGTAATTTTCCTAAATTTAATGTTCAATTTGAAGTTGAGAAAAGCTAAATTCTCGTAAGTTAATGTAGATGCACTAATTATTGTTTCAAATTAGGAGAATAATTATTCTATAAAAGGCGAATAATTACAGTATTCCATTGATAAAAAATGAGATGACAGTCTCAGGGGTTTTATGCAGTGCGAGCAGCTGCGATGCATGCAGCTATAATGTAAGCCTTACATATATTACAGCTGTGATGCACAGCACTGTGATGTACAGCACTGTAATGTACAGCACTGTGATGCACAGCATTGTGATGCACAGCACTATAATGTACCGCATTGTGATGCACAGCATTGTGATGCACAGCATTGTGATGCACAGCACTGTAATGTACAGCACTGTAATGTACAGCACTGTAATGTACCGCATTGTGATGCACAGCACTGTGATGCACAGCACTGTAATGTACAGCACTGTAATGCACAGCACTGTAATGTACAGCACTGTAATGTACCGCATTGTGATGCACAGCAATGTGATGCACAGCACTGTAATGTACAGCACTGTGATGCACAACACTGTGATGTACAGAATGGTGATGCACC